TTTCAACTCGTTAATAATAGTTTTAGTACTAATTTCTGTTATGGTGAGTGTGAGTGTTTTTATGCAGAATAACTTCATCATTTACTGTATGTGCCCGTCCACGACACTTGTACATATTATATTTGATGCATTTCCAATATGTTTTTTTYATTTTTCGTATAGTCCTTTTCAAAAATATATTCCGAATGTACTAATACATTTTTTCCTTTGGTACTTTTTACGTAAGTCATTTTAAAATAATAAAAAAAAAATAGGTTTACTGAAAAAATCTAATGTACGTATTACGAATGTGACGGCGTATAACGAAAATAATATAACGACGCGACAGTTATCGAGACACTGTTAAGCTATTTCAATTTGTTAGTTTTAGTAATGCATACCGGATCCGTTTAATATCTTTTCGATTGATATCGTACATCGATAACGTGCCAATATCTTTATAGGTAATTTATATTTGATAAAACCTATAAGAATAAATATATATCTAAGTTAATTTGTCCGTACAAGGTGCAATATAAGCTATATAAACATTTATACTATTTTTATTTGTTATATTTTATATATATCTTTCTTTTGACGGAGAAATGCCCAACGGGGAAAATCGCTGGACGGGGAAACGGTAACGGGGAAATGTCTAACAGGGAAATGTATTACGGGGATCTGTCCATGAATCCCTGTAAACTACAGGTACATTTTGGTTCGTTAACTTTTACAGATCCGTTAAATATGGTGATAAGAATATAATTTCTTATCAGACACACCTTTTATTATTAAAAATATTTAAATATAGGTAATTTAAATTATAATAAAAATATAAAATATACATTTAAACTCAAATAATACGTTTTTTTCATAATATGTTTTCATCTGATTCTGATTCAACGAGTGATGATGATTTTATCATTGAGGTGCTTCAGGTGTTACCGAGACCACGTTCTTTTCATGATAGATCCAATCCGTTTACAGAATATGATGATATAGATTTTAAACATCGATTCAGGTACTTAAAAAATATTTGATTTAACTATATTTTCACATATTAAGAATAGTAATGCCCTGCATTTAAACCGGATGATAATTTTTTTACTGCATTGAACACTGCATTTATGGAAAAATCTTCATCAGCCGTATCAGCTTCTTCATTATTTTCGTCTTCCTCAGGCGCGTCGCTGAACGAAGAAATAAGTTCTTGATCATTAAGTGGTTCTGATGTTAGTACATTATTATCAAAGTTAACATAATCATCAATATCTGGAAAACATATTTCTTTTTGGACTAACTGTTGTTGTATTGCATTTTTGAAACCCGCATGATGAAAACAGTTTTGAATCGTACTCTCTGTTACTTTTTCCCAAGCTTTGAAAATCAGTAATATGCCATCTAATACGTTGATATTGGTATCAATTTTATTTTCCATATTATTGATCATTTTTAGCACCAAACTTTTTCGAAAATAAGTTTTCATACATTTTATTACACCTTGATCCATTGGTTGAAGAACAGACGTACAGTTACTGGGTAAAAATACAAGTTTAATATTACGCAATACAACTTTAGAATGTGCTGGACAGTTATCAACTAAGAGTAAAATTTTTTCTTTTTTTCTTMCCAACTCTAAATCCCAATTTAATAAAATTTTAGACCATAATTCTGCAGTCATCCAAGCTTTGGAGTTTGATTCATATGTTACCGGTAGACAGTCGATATGTTTGATATTTTTGAAACACCGTGGATTACGGGATTTTCCAATTACAATAAGTTTCATTTTATTAAATTCATTCATTAAATTTAAATGTTCTGTTTAAAAGCATTTTGAAAAAGAGCCCAGTCTCATCTGCATTATAAATTTGATCATCTGTGTATCCAGGGCTTAAAGTGGGAAAAAATTCCAGGGGGGACTAACGTCTCCATATAGTTTTAAGCGTTCCATATATTGTTTTATGTATAATGTCTAATGYACATAGACATATTATAGTAGATACATGTAATTTTTAAACAGTGATTGTGTAACATACTCATCCAACATTCCCACTTTTAAGTTTAAACCTTGAATAATGATAAAATTTGTAATTTATTTTATGAACAATTTAAATCACAAATAATACTACATTTTTAAAAATAATTAATGTTTTACACAAATTTAATATTGTTTCTCATGATATTAAGTTGTAAGAAGTGGTTTTTTTAAGAA